TGAACAAGTAGCAAACATCAAAGAAAGCCCCTGCAGTGTCAGGGTACAAAGTTACCCAGTAGAGCCCTTGTGAAAAGGCTCAAAGTGTTCATTAAACACAAACACTACAAGAGCCATTCTTTTTCTTCCAGCCTTTTAATGTGACAGAGAGAACAAAAACAAATCCATTGGAACAGCTGCAATTTCCAGTGACGACCAGACACAGATCAAATAAAAAAAATAAAAGATGGTTTAAAATGAAGAAAAGGAACCAAGGGACTGGAATTGGCTATTTCACACACAGAGTTGACAGAACATCTAAATGAAACTTTCCATTAAAGCACGACACCAGGTGTTATTTACAGTGGAACTTGCAGTGTGTGTACATTTATACAGCACTAGCATCACATACAGCAAAGAAATTAATTTCATTTTGTTTCCTTCACAGTTCCCAGGCTTGATTCTTCCTAAAAGCAGCATTTGCTAATAATATAAGGGTGAGAAACTGAGGGAGAAACTTAATGCAAAATAAAATACATAGGGCTCAAATCTACATAAACCTAAAAATATCCTCTCAGGTTTTGTGACTCCTTTGGAAAGTCAAAGGACATGAGCAGGGAATATAAAAGGACTCCTTAAGAGCATCAGAGCATACTCTGCTGTTGGAGGTCTCAAAGCAGGACCTGGAAGGGACCTGGAATCTGCAGAAAGCTCAGCTCCATGCAGTCCTGCTCTGTGCCCTTGTGTGAAGGCAGCCTTGGGGCTGGGTCACTCCCAGGCTCGGGGTCATCCCTCAGTGCCTCTCCAGCATCACTGAAGGACATCAGGATGCCTGAGCACTTCCCAGTGTGCAGAACTTCTGCCAGTGCAGGTGGGTTTTCCAAGACTGACCCTCCTCATAGTCCAAAAGATCCAATGCACCACCATTTGTCAGTCCCAGAGCATTTCAAGGAATTTCAAAGAGTGATGTTGATATGGGCAAGGAGGGGCTCACCCCACCCAGCACAAGCTGCAGCCACCACCTCTAGGATGTAGCAGAGCCAAAGGCAGCAACAGGAGCTGTCCTGCACAAATGGAGTAAATAAATCACAATACCACAACCTGTTAAATCAACAGGAGGCAGAACTCTTACTGTAACACCACTGGTCTTTAACAATAGTATCAACAGTGCTTGGTGTTCCTATAAAAGCCTGTGTTTGTGTGCTCAGAAATTCAGCAATGGACCTCTCCCACTTCAGTGCTGTAGAGCTGAAATCACAAAGCCACAGCAGGCCAGTTTGGGTTCCCTAAATTCACCTTCCCCATGCCACAATGTCCCTGGCTGAGTGGCTGTCCTGCTGTGCCACACGTGTGTGAGGAGATCCAGCTGTCCTCTAGAGGAGATCTTTGGGATTTAAGGCAAGTCCCCTGCCCTGGTCCTTCCTCTGTGTCCCTGTTGCAGTGAAGTTCACAAATCCATGGGGATGGTGCTGTGCAGAGACCAGCAGGGGAGCTGTGGTCAGCAGGTTTCTCTGTGGATGGTCCAGTGTATCCCAGACAGAGACAGTCACCAGGGCAGATGTGGGCAGGGGAACTGAGGGAGGAGATGTGTTTGCTCTTGAACAGCATGGGCAATGCTGGTTTTACAGCAAAACCCAAGCTGAGCCATCAGAGGAGGTGCCTGAGGAGAAATCTTCCCTTGCTTGAGCTTCAAGGATCTGTGACTGAGGCTAAGCCTAGCAGGTGGCCAAGGCTTGAAACTGAGCCCAAAACAAACCCCAGCCAATGAAGGGGGGCTGCACCCAGCTGCTGTTTTGCTCTGGAGAGCAGCAGTGTGACGCCTACACTGATTTACACCATGGCAAGGACAGCAAATACACACTTTGGGAATATTGACTAAGCCTGTCCCCACTGAGTTGAGATGCCAGCCCAGGTGTCACAAATGCAATGCCTGAGCTGGAGCTGCTGCCCTGGATCTCTGTGTCCCTGAAGAAGCAGGACTGTCCAGGACAAGCCATCTCCAGCTCAGCACAGGGCCTGGGCAGGGTCCCCCTGTTCCCTCTGCCTTTCAGCTGAGAATAATGGCAATCCATTCAGATCAACCCTATGTGTGCCTCAGCTGGGTATGGGAGCTCTCCTCAGCTTTTCCTTCCTTCCTTCCTTCTCTGCTCTCTTGTCCTTTATCTCAGGCTCTCACATGCCAGCTGTGCTGTGTGTTTGCTCTCTCCTGTTGGTCACAAACTCCCTGGTCAAGTCAGGGGTAGGAGCCTTGTCCCAACACATCCAATATCCCTTAGTCCTTAAGTGACTCACCCATGGATTTTAGGGGTGCAAAGAATTTCCAGGTGACATTGACAGTGAGATCCCATTACTTTTTACCTTGTCCCAGCTGGTCTGTGAGGTGAAGTTTAGCAGCCTGTGAAAGAGCCATTTTTTAAGGAAGAAAGGTTTCTAATATTGGATAATATTTCCTAATATTACCTTGCCATTTCTATCTCCTCATGATTTCAATTTCTTCCTTCTCTGGAAATTAACAGGGAAGTTTTGCAAAATAAATGATGTCATTAATGTCACTGCAAAATGTCAATGGAGGACACAAACAGGTTTGCTGTGAGCATTGGGTGACATGTAAATAGGAATGCTATGCAAAATAAATATTTAGACAAATAGTTTCTAGCTCCTCAGAGCTGCACAAACGAATGGTCCAGAAAACGAAACAAAATTTCTCCCCCTCTGTCCATTTGCAATGTGGTAATTGGCAAGCACAGCCCAACAAAGTGGATGAAGCCTAAAGGTCATGGTGACCTTTTGTGTTAAAATACATATTTAAACTGTTTCTCATCATGCAAAAGGAGCAGATATTCTTAGAGAAAAAAACTCACATTCTAGTCTGTAATTCTGAACAGAAGCTGTGAACTGCTGCCAAAGGACATAATTACATTCACTCCTACCTTAGAGAAGGAACCTTGCTGTTTTGAAGACAAATAAAATAAATAATAATAAAAAAAAGCCTAAGCTACCCATAAAATCAAGAAATTATGCATAATAAGCTCAGCTATTATAGCAGCTTGTGATTTCATCAATTTCATAAACCTCAGAATAAAGGTCAAAAATCTCAAACAGCCCATTGTAGCCTAGCTGATCCATGAGTGTTTATCCCTGATTGACACAATGATAAAAGTGATGCTCATTAGAGGCTTTTGCCTCATTGGCAAGGATTTGCTGCTCGTGATCTACCCCTGCTGTGTCCTTCAGCAGCACCACGCTGTGTCCCTGTGCAGCCTGGGCTGGCCCTGGGGCCTAAGTGCAAGGAGCTGTGCCTGTGCAGCCAAAGGCAGGGGTGTGAGACATCACTCCTGCAGCATCCAAGCCTAGCTTTGCTTGGTTTTCTTAAAAAAAAAAAAAAAAAAAAAAAAAGTCACCAAAAAAACCAAAACCAAACAAAAACCGACAAAGGAGATCCAAGAAAAGGTAAATGAGAAGATCACCAGGAAAAGTACAAAAGAACTTTTTTATGTCACAGAATATCCTGGTTTGACAAATGAGCTGCACTATGTGGTGGTTTCAGATCAATTCTGGTCTGTTGCTGAGTTGTTGAAAGGGTGTAATTAGTGTTATCTCATCCATTGTGAGCACTGGTGTGTTATTGAGCAGGGTGCTTTTCCTTCTGGTTTCCCAAGAAAACACACCCTAAAATACACAACTCACTTTGCCTCTAGGTGCAACCGGACTTAACTGGTATGATAAAAAGGGCACACGAATTTGAGAAATGTTCTCCACAGGATATCAAGCTAAACTGTGCCACTTAATGGGGAATTTAATGTTCTGTACAGTGAAAGCTTGCTGTGTGCATTCCCTGTGTAACAAGTTAAATGGCTTTAAGTAACTGTGCTTACAGTGTTTCAATGAGACCCAAGTATATTAGAAAATCAAGCATCATATTCTTCAAATAATATGGCTAAAATGCTGGTAAATTCACAGTTACCATTCTCTAGGTATTAGGCAAAAATCCCCTATTTACACTGGATAATATGTACACATTTGGTTTGTGGAATGCTCCAATATCATATCAATTTCTCCTCTGTGAAAGCTGTAAGGAAAAAACCCTCTTAATCATTATAGAAATATATATTCCCAGCCAATAATACATTTAAATATTTGGTATCTGGATGTAAAGAGCAAAGTGTCACTAAATTGGTCATGACTTCTGATAATCTTGAATTATTGGGATTTTAGTGTCACTCTTAAAATCCTCTTAAGGGTGCAGAAATTAAAAGTCCTAATTTTAATAGCTGATCACTTCAATGGGTGTATGTAAGTTTGCAAGTAGGTGTAAATACACATACATATATATATATATATAATTATTTAGATATTTCTCTTCCACAGCAAGAAAGTGTCTAGTAATTCCCTGTGCCCAAGTGAAGACAGTAAAGGGCTTTGAAGCTCTGAGTCTTCTGAGATAGCTGAGCACCCACCCTCACATCCTCGATGAATCAGGCCTCTCACTCTTCCAGGTGGGTGGAGTGGTAATCCCAAAATCAAGACAGCTGGGGCCAGTGGCCACATCTGCAACTGTTAGCCCTATTGCTGGAGCTCACCTAGAGCAGGTTTGTCACCTGCCCTCCCTGGATGCTCTGTGTGTCTGAGCACAGCTGGATGGCTGGGCAGGGCAGGAGGGTCGGGTCTGCCCTCCTGTCTGTCCTCCACGCGGGCACAGAGCTGCTGTCTGCCTCTGGTGTCCTTGCAGGGGGATGGACAGGGACAGGGGGGGCTCCCAGCACAGGCAGGGTGGAACCCAAGCTCTGCAAGGGGTGTGTGGGGGCTGCATGCACCAGTCGTGGCTGTAATAAGGTCAGGAACGATGGTTTTGTTGAAATCCCTGCGGGTTGTTCTTTGTTCTTCTTCCCCTCTGCCGTCTCGCTTTGAGGTACCGACAGAACAGCGCAGGATGAACGTTTTGGGTTTTCCAGACATGGCTGGTTTTTGTTCTTCTTCTACATCTGCCCCCACCCCCCACAAGCCCCCACGGCCTCTGTTGCTCACATCAGGACCTGTTCTCGAGTCTCTGGCAGGCGCAGAGCCAGCAGGCCACCCCCAACCAGAGCGGAGGAGGCCAGAAGGATGGGAACCACCTTGGTTATCCCTACGAAGGAGGAGAAGATGGAGTTCCCCAGGATGGCACCAAACTTGCAAAGCCCATTGAGGATGCCAAAGGCTGTTGCCCTGTGGGGAGGAAAAGCAGAAAGCAATGGTTGGGAGGCAGGTTCTGGCACAGCTACACAAGGTTTTGGATGGGTAATTTTGTGAATGCTCCTATGTTGCCCAGGCTACGCTTGCAGCAAGTAAAACTGGGTGGAATAAATAAGTAGATAAATAGATGCAGCTGTTTTTTGTGTCTGTGTGAATGAGGAGAATGTCTGTGTGCACCCATTTCTTCTCATCTCACCTTCTTCCTAGAGTGACCCACTCTAGGGGCCTTGAGTGGCCCATTCTGTCAGCCTCTGCCCTCCCTAAAGACAGCAGGACAAAATCTGCTCTAGATCTCCTCAAAGCCCTTCCAAGGGCTGCCTGGACTGGATTGTCACCAGAGAAGCAACCACAGCTCTCCTCTAAATTCTGTTTCACCCAGCAGCTAAAAGCCCACTATTTTTAATGTACCGTCTCTCTCCTTCATTTCTGACTTGCCCCAAGAGTCTGAAAAAGGCAAAAAGGATCTTATAATGATATAAGGAAAGACTTAATCTGCAGGACATTGTCCCGAAGTCTCCTGCTCTTCCCCATGTCCCAAATCACTCTGTGTACATGGCTTTCTCCAGGTTTTGGGTGGGAGGGCTGCCCCAGTGATGAGTCATGACAAGAGGATGGGGATGCAGTGTGAGAGGCCAAATTTCCATGCACATCCATGGAAATGACAGAGTGCTTCTTTCATTTGGAGCTTTAGAACTAGTTGATCTTTAAGGTCCCTTCCAACTCAAACCATTCTGTGATATCATGGTTCTATGATTCTTTGATTTATCAGCCCATAACTTCCATATATCCACACGATCCCTGAGTTCAACCTGCCACGCATGCAGAATTATGCTTGCAAATGTCTGTTCTGACCCAGCATTACACAGCCCTGACAGACTGGTGAAACTGAAATAAATAAAAATATACAGCTCCCCCACCTAATGTCTCTAGGGCAGCTTTTTTTTTTGCTGGGAACCAAGAGGACTAGGCAGAGGGCGGGGATTAAGGGAGACATGTTCTGAGCACCTTTTGTCGGTGGGGTAGAGCTCCACGGTGATGACATCCAGGGCGTTCCAGGCGGCGATGCTGGCCCCGCAGAAGAGGCACTGCCAGCCGATCATCGCCGACTCGCTGTTCCCGAAGAACAGGAAGAAGCAGCACACGGCTGAGATCAGCATCGAGCCGCCTGCAGGGGGGGAAACCAACAGAAAAACACTGCCACAGCTTGTTGCCTGGTTGTGCTCTTCCCCTGTCCACAGCTTGTGGAAATCACCCCGAGTTTTTAAGATTTTCTAAGCCTTCTGATGTTTGCGTTCTTGCAGCAAACTTTCTCGCACACTTTCTGTAAATAGCTTATTGTTTTGCATTCTTTTATTCTCTTCAAATTTGATAGACTGTTGGTTTGTCCAGTGTCACTGGAGAGGTGGTACTTTCACCCTCCAATCCACTGTCACTTTTAGAAAACTATAAATGTTAAAGTCAGAAAATAAACTTCCCTTTTCTTCACCTTGAGAGTAGCCGTGTGTGCGCTCGTACTGTTTCGTGTCCTATAGCGACAACAGCTGAGCAAATACATTTGTTAAAGATGGCTTTCAAGTGATGGCATTTCATCCCAATAAGTATTAAATCTGTGAGGATCCAAAAACACCTTGATGCCACCTATCTGCCATTCTCTGATGCTGGAAGCCAGCCTGGAAAAGTTCTCAATGTCCACCTGATCTCGCTGATAGTTCTGCTCTACAAAGACTGTGAAGACAGGCTTTTCCAGGCAGGCTTCCAGCATCTCAGACTTCCAGATGGACCCAGGAAGAGCAGAGGCAAGTAAACATGAAAGTCAATGAGGAGCAAGCATCATTGTGAAGGTTTTTCAACTTGAGTTTCAAGTGATAAGCTTGTGCATTTCATATCGTATCACTTGACACATTTCTAGTCCCAATTAGGATAATTTACAGTCACTTGTATGAAGCACTTGAGGTCTCTTTTAATTATAAGAACATCATTAGATTTCATGGCACATTTGCACGGGAGCCATAATTTTATGAACATCACCGAGGGAGAAAGTGAGAGCATTCATGCTCAGTTAGGCACAGTTCAGATTCAGAAATATTAATAGCTACATCACTGCTTTCTACCCCATTGGGAATTTTCAACTGAAAGATGAAATTTGGGAAAAATTAAACTATTTTTCACCAGAATGTTCTGTTATCACTGAAAAATCTCCATTTATTACCAGGAAAGCAAACAATTTTCCCTGTTGTTTGGTGTTTTTGGAGTCAATTTAGCGCCATACAAAATAATTTGGATGCTGAAGTGTAACTAAAGTGCTTCAATTTGGACGTTTTGTTGCATCATGCAGTGGCCTGCCTATGAAAAGCTGCTGTGCAGGACTCCTTTTCCACTTCTCCTCCATGGTACAAGGCCAGACCACATCCCCACAGTGTGGTGTGGATATTCCCCCTGCTGCAAAAGCCCAGCCCAGCACTGGTGAGGGCACCAAGAGATCTGCTGTTTTGTACAAGATAAAGTTTGGCAGGACGCGATAAAAATGAATTGAAGCCGCAGCAAGGCACATAACACAAAGGAGAAATTCAGTTTTCCTGTTAAGCTGACCAGAAATAATATGTTCCTCAGAGTGATACAGGTGGGATGCCAGAAGGCTCTTTCAATTGGAAATTCCATAGTGAAGCATTTCAGCATGTCATTGCTAATTTTTGTCCCGTTCTCTTCTTTTTGCAGGAGAAATAAGCATTTAGGGCTCCAGCTGTCATCTCAATTCCAGATGAAAATGCTGAAACGCTGACATGTTTGCAGGATGGACAATCTGATTCTCATTCAGCTTTCTCTGGTTTATTTCTCACAGACCCTCTGGTTTGTTTGTGCCTTTTTCAAATTCACCACATGAATGCTCATTTTCCCTCAGTGTAAATTCCTGAGACACTCATCTTGCTCTACTTTAACCTGTCTGAAGGTGAGGCTGAGCTAAACCTTCCCTCTGTTCTCAGAGGAGAGAGAAGAGCTCAAGAGAGTGATTCATCCCTTTCCCCTGAGCCACATCCCTGATTTTATTACCTTCCTGTGGCTGTCCCTCAGGGCATGATTCCCATATCATGGGATGAGAGCAAGCTCTGAACCCTGGAGGCTGCAGCACCAGCAATTCCCAAAGGATTCATGAAGCTGATAAGGTGATAACTTGATAACTTATTTTCATGATGCTAAAGTGGGCTCCTTTCTTGGCTGTGACATGGTCAGTTAATTTACCATATGGTCTCTGAAGCTGCTTGTGCAATCATTTGAAAATCAGATAAAAAACCAAAAGAGGAAACTCCTAGGCTGTCAGGCTGCCACATCAAATAACCTTTGTGAATATTCATTGCTACAAGCAACATGTTCATTTATTTATACAGAGGCTTTGGACTTCAGCAGCAACTCAACAGGACCAAGAGCTCCTTTTTTAGCTCTGACCCTGATTTGCTGAACACTGCAAAAACATGCAGGATTTGACACAAAAGGCAAAATAAATTAAAAAAAAAGTTACAGACACACAGAAAAGCAGAGTGAGGAGGTGGGGAGTTGGTCACTTACTGCCATGGATCACCTGCCTGACCCTCTAGTCTTTATCCTTCTGCTCCTTTTGTTTTGGGGATGGCTCATTCCCAGCAGAGCCAGGCCAGTGTGCAGACACACTGAGCAGGGCTGAGCTCCACCCTGTCCTTCCCCATCACCTCCATCCCCACTCACCAATCATCTTTATCCTCCCGACTTTGTCCATGAGCAGAGCAGAGATGATGTTGCCTGGCAGCACAGACAGGCTGCCCAGGAAGCTGACCAGGTAGATCAGGAAATCATTGTCCTCCTCAAAGTCGATGTGGCAGCCTTCCTTCTCCTTCATGAAGGTGCTGTTGATGAGCCTGCAGTTGATGAATTTGTGCTCGTAGAGATCTGTGAGGGAAAGAGGCAAAGGCTTGACCCTGCTTGGCTGAACTCTCATACAACAGCAAGGACCAAACCAAAGACCCCAGAGAAGTTTCTCATCCAATGGAAATGGCCAGGGAGCATTTATTTCAGTGGAAATTTATTAGAGTGGTGAACTCTAGCTGAGTCTTTGGCTCCTGGCAGATGCAAGCTCTTACACTCCTTTTATTTTTGGAGTCACCTGAACCAGCATCCCCATGCCACAAGGACAGGGCAATGCAGGCTTTGGTTCTCATAGCATTACCATTTGTTCTTTATTAGAGTAGAAGTTAAGAGATTTTTTTTGGTATAAATTAGTGACTTTTTAAAGTGAATTTCATTAGTGACTTTTGATATAAATTAGTGACTTATTTTACTGATGATGATCTTCAACTGCTGGTGGCTTGAAATTATATTTTAAGCCAGTTTTACTGAGTAGAGCTGTAAAGTGCTGAGAATTTTGCCATCACTTTAACCTGCCTGAGCACAGAATTTTGCATTTCCCATACAGCACCCAGAGACACCAGAAGCCATGGGACCAAAATCTCTGATGGAGCCACCTGAGGTCACCTTCGAAATGCATCACACTCTTTTCCTCCAGCATCACTCTCATTATCCAGCACACACTCAAACATGCAGATCCCTACCATCCTTTCTTCCAGAAAGCAGGTAAAATAGTTATAATAAAATAGTTTTCTGATAAAAAAAAGTTCCTAGTTACAGAGATGACACCACAGCAGGAATCCCATTACCAGTGTTATAAAAGACAGTAGAGATGATGGTGCAGTTTTCAAAGAAGGTCTCACTGGATCTCACATCTTCAAAGTAGCAATCCTCAAATAATGAATCCTCAAATCTCACTTCCTTGAATTTCATGCCAATAAATCTGTGGGGCAGGAAACAGAACTTCACTCTGTGCTTTAAGATATTTTCTACACTGCATAGTGTGCAGTGGCTGTTTCAAGAGACAGAGCACTAATTCTAATTTCTAGTGTCATTTACAGAAAAGGTGTTGCTTGAATGTATAACTCACTCCAGCTCCTTCTGTGTTTTACTAGGAGGGAAGGGTCTGAAGAGTATTTTTTTGAGAAGAGACATGGATCTTTTAGGATTTGTGCAGTTTTTCTATTCCTCGAAATAATCACATCTGAGAAAATGCACTTCTAAAGCTGAGGGGACACAAATCCTCTCTTGTTCAGTCCTAATCTGTCTGAAGATGACAGAATTTCACTCAATGCAGGGTATTTCCTTCATGAGCTGACCTTGCTGCCTTCCTTAGTCTCCCCCTTCCTCCATCATAAATAAAACCAGACATTATCAGGAGCCTATTGAGCCATTTGGTGAAAGGTTTCTGACAGTTGTTTAAACTCAAAGTGATTTTTAAAGTGAAAATGCAGCAGGGATTGTGGAGAGAATGGGGAGATAATCTGAGTTCTGCTTGTAACCATCTCTGTTTGAGGTTTCTTACTTACCATGTAATGAAAACAGATTTCACTAAAAATAATAAACTGTGTCAGGTGATTGATTTCTCCTCTGATGGGAAGTGTGACATGTCTGACCTGGCTGCCTGAAGGATGACACAATATTGATTTACCTGTGAGGTTTTGCAGGAACACTGAGAAGATGTATTAGGTAATGCACAGACATGTTTAGAGGCTGTAAAGAGCTATTAAGAACAAGCATTATTGCTCCAGTTAAAGAGGCCATGACTGTCACCAGATGAAAAAAAGCCTTCTAACATATACTCTGCAGCTTAATTGAGTTGAGCACTTTTAACACAGCGTAACATGATGGTTGTTTACACCTTTAAATGAGCACTGCAGGGCTTCTTGACTGAGCCTAATAACAGAAATTATTAATGCACAAAATACCATGAGAAGATTATTCAAGTGTTTTGCTCCATGTAGAGGGTCTCAAAGGTTACAGCAAAACTTAAGCTGTTCTGCATTTTCTCAGTGATGTATTTACTTGTAATGTATTTACTCCTAAAGGCTGTTCAAACCCATTTTCCCTCCTGCAGTTTGCTTTCTTAACATCCAACTTTAGAAGCCTCACAGAGCAATGTCCTGGTGATCCATGGAGTTCTAGCTCACAGCCAAGGGCTGCAGAGCAAACACAGCTGTAAACCATTCTCAGATAATTTCTGGGCATTACTGCAATTTAGCTTGATGAGGTTTTGAGTATTGGAAATGGAGAGGGCCAAGGTGGGAGAATAGTGATTTACATCACAGTTTTATGTCTTCATCCAGCCAGGTGCTGAGTATCCTTAATTCTCAATGAGGTTAGTGAAAATTCTGCACCTCCTGTAGGCATAAGAAAAATGTCCCCAATCCCTAAATTTGACCAACATACACTTCTAACCACTTTCTTTTGGGGAACAGGAATTGTGGGGCTTGGTTTGCATCATCAAGCTCAGCTCCTTGTTGCAGGGAAGGTGTATGGAAGGACATGAGGACACATGTTGGGGTCCCTCACCAAAAATATAAAATATATAGCAAGAAAATGGTTTCTGAGTGGATTGGAACAACCTGGCTGGACAATGGGATGTGGTTTCAGCTGTGAAGATTAAAACAATGAGTGTTTTGTGTAACATTGAACATGGGGAGGAGCTCCTTCCAGCAAGGCAGCTGGAGCAGCATCCTGTTAGGTCTGCCTGGGGCAATGAGATCACAGAAATTACAGAGGGATATTTTTCCTTTCTATTGGGATTTCCTTTTTATTGGGATTTTATTGGGATTTTGAATAGTAGTAATGGAATGACCAGGATTTACACTGCTGTGGAACATAGAGTGGTTGGGGTCCAGGCTGGATGCAGAAGAAAAAACAAGGCCAGCCCAAATAGGAGGAAAAAGGGAAGGAAAGCAATGGAAGAAACTGCTTTTTATTTTGGAACTACAGCAGCAAGTTCATTACCAGTGGCTGCCCAAGCCCAGTAGATGTCAGTGTGGGCTAAGGAAAAAGAAGTCACCTCTGCATGCAGGGCTGCCCAGCACGGCCAGGTGGGCGCTTGCTGCCCTGATCCCAACACAGGGCTGCTGGAAGCAGGACGACCCACAGGCATCCCCTGGGTTCTGCAGAAGCCAGTGACAGTGGCAAAGTAGGTGGAAAAAAAGGATTAAAATTAAATTTTGTCTCTCAAAAACTGCTTCTGGGACTTGAGAGATTTAGACTGAGTGTCCAAAAGAACAACGGAGAAGTTCAAGTTGATGGAAAATGGAAAAGAAAGAGCTGTCTAGAAATTTATTTCAGTTTGAAAACATCAAAGCAAATTCTGTTCACTTACTTGTCATTCCTGTATTCTCCATTTCTATGGATCTGGTTTTCCAGGGTGAAATTAAAGGTGAAATGGGACACTTCTTCCTCATCAAAGATCTTCACCCGGGATTCATATGCCTCGTCTTGGAAATAGCGGATCATGTCAGGGAACCAGACAATAAGGCCATAGTAACTGCAGCAGGGTTGGGAGACACATCAGGACACAAGATTCTTCCAAAGACCCACTTCACAGCTTGTAAACTTGTTAAACTCCAAATGTGATGCACGTCTGACACAAATCCTTGCTCAGTTCTGACACAGGACTGAGCAAAGTGGTTTTGTGCTCTAAGCACCCTGCTGATCTCAGAAGAATGTTGGTCCATTCTCCTTCACTTGAAGCAGGACAATTCATTTCAGTTCCCCTTGGCTGGGGAATACAGAAGTGTGCAAACTGTGTTACCCATTAAATTAGCAGAGAATAAACAAACTGGGCTGATTTCTGTAAGTGTGCAATTCAAGTGAGAGTTAAACAAAATTTACTGGTAGTTTAGATTTAGACTCCCCTGAGTGGTTTTGATCTAGACTAAGGAACAGCTGAGAGTCTGGTAGGGTTGTGTCTTTTTTTGTGTGTGTGGACAAGATCAAATGAAAGATCTAAAGGTGAGAAAGTCAATCTATTACTGTGCTACCAACCACTTCTCAAGTCCTGATTTGTTCAAAGCACCTTGTACTTCATATAAAGCAGTCAGATTGATCAATATTTGTAGGAGAGCAAGGCTTAGTTCACAAAGACTCTTTAAAATAAGACCAGGATTAATTTTGTAATAGTTTATTTACATGTGTAAATAACTATTCAGACTCTGAATAATGCTTTAGTTTCCTGAAAAATATAAAGAAGTATCTTCCTTACCTTAAGGCCATTGTAAACCAAACCACAGCCAGCATCAGTGTGTTCATCCTGTACTGGGCTGTTAAACAATATAGCACATTGTCCCAGACCTACAAATCCACAAGAAGGAATTAGCTGCCAGGACACCCCAGCAGACACTTGACAGCTTAATTTCTGAGCGCATCATAAACTTCATGTCAGAAAAAATGGGTTCATTAGAGGAAGGTCAGATGTGTGGCTCATATTCAGTGTTTTTTCAAAATTATATTTATTGAGTAAATGGCTCACAAAAATCACTTATTCAGCTCAGTGCCAGAGTACTTGATCTGAGACCTCTGTAATGAGCTGGAGTGCATGATCAGGGCTGGGTATGAGGCAGTGTCTCTCTTAGGTTATATCACCAAATGTGGATATGAGATTGTTCTCAGACCCTCTGACAACTTTATCTTTTCAAATATATGTATGGTGTCAGGAGTGCTTTCAAACTGAGATCAAAAGCTCTCTGAAGAGCAAAAGCCCAAACACAGCTGGCACTTTAGGAGGTATAAGATGAAATCAGGTAGGGATGAAGCCAAGCAGGAGGCAAACCAAGATCTGCTCTTGACTCATTGCAGAAAATGCTATCAAGAACATGAGGGGATGCAACTCCTCAAGCTCTTATCTTGACACAAAAGTATAGTGATAGTGTAGCACCTGCATTGCTATTAAGAAGAACTTTCCTTTATTTTCAGCTCATCCTTCAAGACTAGAAGTTTTACAAGGTTTCCACAGTGCTACATGGGCATTAGGTGAGCAGTATAGCAGGTGTGAAAGGTTAAATTAACCCAGGAGACAATACAATATTCTTAGAAACTTGGTCTCAGCAGGAACAAAGAGCAAGCACTTTCTGCCTCCACTGCAGGTGGCAATTCCACTTAAGGCTTGGGGAGAGAAAATCAATATTTATCTGCTCAGGAGGAGAGCCAAGTGCTTGGGGCTGCTCCTGGAAGCTCTGCACTGCTGGATGGCAGTGATGCTCACAGGGGCATTCTGGGGCCTGGCTGGCACCATGGCACTCAGATTAGAGCTCTTTGCAAAAACCAGAACATTTTCTGAGATGGGAGTCAGGGTTTCAAGATACAACGACCTGAAGCAAGGAGGCACTGGAGCACTGTGTGAAGTTTTTTTTCTTCTCTTTACCTGTCTTAAAGTAGTTGTGATTCTGACCAGCCACCGCTGGTACCAGGTCCCCGTTGAGCTCTGGATTTCAATAAATTCATCTACTTGCTTTGGAGTTTTGATATAGGAAACCTGGAGGGAAAAAAAAAAAAAAGAGGAAAAAAATTGGACTGCAGTCTCTAGAATTGATCTTGGGTGGATTTAAATTCCACTGTTTTCTGGGCAATGTTTCTACCTAATAACCCATATTATTTTTTCCTTGAAAGTTAGCATTAGCAATTGAGCTCATTGATTTAATTACAGCAAGGCTTATTAACAGAAATAAGCCTTGCTTCCTTCTTTTCATCTATCCCTTCATCCTCTCTCTCTCTCTCTTCTTCCATGAAATATTTTAAGTACATCATGTCCACTTCAATCTTTCATTTGCTAGCTAGTGTTCCTGTATACTACTTTATTTCTCTATCTTCAGATTCCCACTACAAATCAGGACTCAGAAAGTATAGTAAAAATTATCTCCAAGATCAGCTACTTGTACCCAAATTCTGTCCTCAGGATTTCATTCTTCTAAGACAACCAGCAGGAACATTTGTCATTCATCATCTTTTAAATACCACTGACAGAACTATGACAAATGAATGTGTAGATGGGAATCTTTGCAGCTGAAAATGTATCCTGCCATCAAGTGAGCCCACACAATTCAGCCAGTTTGCTTCACCAAAAGAATCTGAATTTTCACTGCTGAATACCTGAACTGGACTGCTCAGTAAAACTTACAAATGGATCCCAGTAAATATTTGCTTAGTAAATTTAATTAAAGGACATATTCAAGGCAAACAGAACTGTTTGTAAACACACGGAGGAGGCGAAAATCTGCTGAATAAATTTCTGAGTGTGAACGAGCGCCTTGGCTCAGCTCTGGAGTCTCCACATTCCTCTTCCTGGCACCGATTAAATGTCAGATCTGGGAGCTGTCCCGTACAGGCTGACTCACCACAAACTGACAGCTTCTGGCCTGTCAGAAAAGCACAAACCCTGACAGTTGGTGGCACACCAGGAGCAGTGATCAGCCTCCTGTGCCAGCGGGTGTCAGTACATCTCGGCTCAGCCTCGAGGTGCGACACCCAGCTCAGCTCCTCCGCTGCAGTCGTGGCTCTGTGGCACGGAGTAACCAGCACCAATGGGGGCTGTACAGCAGCTCCTTCATTCTCCTACTCAGCTCAGACTCTCATAGTGCCCTACTTTGTGAGATATATATATATATTTATATATATTTATAGTTGAGCTTCATTTCCCAGCTCAGCGTTACAGCAAAGCCGGTGGTGGATTTGAAGAAAACCACTTCTCACCTTTGCCATCAGGGCTGGCATTACTCAAATGGTTGGTAGCCTAAAAATAACACATGCTCATTAAGATCCTACATGAACCTGCATGCAGTTGTCATGCTCAGATATGAAATTTTATTTTCCTTGAAGGATCACTCCCAAGGGGCACAGTCTCCTGACAACCCTTCTGAACACGGAGTGTTGCTTTCCTTCTTGATCAAAAATACATGTTTCACCCACAAGTGTATCTCCTTTTTTTCCATCCTTTAAAAGCATGTGTGCTCTCATCTTTAAAAGAATAAATCAAGAATTCTTCCCTGGCTGGCTCACCAGGATTTTAACACTGAATTATAGTAATTTGCAGCTAACCCCAGCATAAACCTTTCCTCTGATTTTACTGTTAATGACTCTGCTGGTGTGACCTTTTTCACAACAAGCAGCAGGCCAATGAGTAATAGCCACTCATCCCACTTTCCCTTGGAGAGATTAAAGACTGGATATGAGGCAGGTGGAGTTTGGAAAGCTCATTAGAAAGTACGTGAAGTTTAATCAGACTTTGATTAGAAGCCAGAATGGAGAAAGGAGTGACTCAGGTCTCCCACATGGCTAATATGTCTCTTATTTTGTTTTAGTCTCTTAGAGCAAGCTAATTAAACACGTGCATAATTGAGAAATCACTGGTCTAAAGGATGTAGAGTAACATCAGGAATGAAGAGTACTTTCTGCAATTGACAGACTTGACTAATTCTTGGAAAAACAGACTGGCATCTAAGTTTAAGCTCACAAAATGTTTCTCACAGTCCTTTTTCTGGTTGCTGGGGGAGAGATTACATTGAAAGAGTCCCGAGGAGAAATAAAGTCATGCTGTGCTGCACTAAGGAGGGTATGCCCAGCTTTTCTTAAGCAATGCCTTTGCTCAACTCACCGTAAACACCCTCTCTGGCTCGCCCTTGGCCCTCATGTTGGTGTCATGGACTTGTTTGAGAATCATCCAAGCTTCATCATGTTTACCAATCTGAAAACACCAAAGAGAAGGAAAGCAAGTGTTCAAACTCCCAGCTCTGTAATTTATCAAAGCACAGAGAGAAAGCAATTCTAGGGGTCCAGCATAGTAGAGAAGCACACAGACAGCCTGGGCTGCATGAAACCTGAAGAGCTGAAGGCATGGTTGATACTCACAGAGTGCAGCATCTCTGTGCTTAAGAAAGGAATTGTCTTAAAACTGCCTGAGGTAGAAAAGGGGTCAGGGATAGAGCTTTAAAAACAGATGAAAGGAGAGGAGATGGATGAGGAGAACTGGACTCTCATCCCAACTCTGCTAAACACTTGCAGGCTTGAACTATGTACTGCTACATTTCCCATCTGTGAAGTGGAGATACAGAAACTTGCTTAAGATTTCTGAGCTTTAAGCATTTTACTCGGTGAAATGTACTTTACCCTTTGCTCTACCACCAGGATTCAGCAGTTCCATGCCCAAACTCTGTGAGATGTTTTCAAAGTGCCTTTGTTGGACAGATAAAATTACAGATAAAAATACCTTCCTTCTGTACTCCACCTGGCAGTGACACACTAATCATCAGTGACTGACCCCACAGTCTGCAACCTTTGGGGTTCAAGCAGTCTGTGGAGCTGGTTTAGACACACAGGAGTGGCTTTGCCTCTGAGCTTGTGCTCTGTGTGTTTGATGGGACAAAGCCAGACAGTGACACATTAGGGAGCTGCCATCCTCTGCAGATATCAGAGATGAATCACCTTACCTCCAGCAAAAACCGCGGGCTCTCAGGCATGAATTTCAGCGCCACCAGGGAGGCGATACAGGGCAGAGCACACACCAGCACAAAGACTCTCCAGCTGTGGAAGTGGTACTTGGTTCCCATACTGAACCCCCAGCCTGGAAACAGCAAGAGCCAACAAGTGAAAATACTGACCAGGAGCTGCGAGTTTTTCTCTGCTCAGAACTTTGCAGCTCTGTATGACATGAGGACAGGTTGAAGGTTTGCTATTCTTAGTACTGGAGGCTGGTGCTCAGTGGATAGCAGCAAGTTCATTACAGAAATTGGAGCATGCTCAGGCTCTGCCTTTTAAAAACCTTCTTTTATCTTTGAGTTTAGAAATCACCCAGTGATAGGAACAGCTCAGAGCAGCTATAGGCAAGTAAGGCTGGAAAATGGTGCAGGAATAAGGGCCATAATTGATCACTTCTCAGTGAAGGTTTACAAAGGTTAAATCTCTGATCTGAGAGGCACTTTAGAGACAGCTTCTTTCCATCTCCTACATCACATATGTATTTCACATTTCATGGAAGTGAGCAAGAAAAGCAAGTTTATTTTTTTCCCAGACCTACAAAACCTGAGCTGGGGTTCAAACTTAAAAACATCAAAATCCTCATCCTGCATTTGAGATACCCCTTCTCCTGCTTCTTTCCTGGTGTTTGACCAAGTTAGGTATTCCCCTGCTAAGAACTGGAAAGTAAAGCCTCATTCTCTTACATTGCTCCATTCACTCTCCCTAGGCTCAAATCTAATAAGGAGTGCTAAAATAATTTTTTTCTATAATAATTTTATTCACACAATAAGGAAATCATCAAACAATGGGTTTTGTAGAAGTCTCATCTGAGCCTGTCATGGTGTTCTAATGATTTCACAAAGTTCCAAAAGAGTAGGTGGAACACTGGGAATCAAAAAAGAAGCTACAAAAACACAATATCAAAAAGTCATCTGAAAAACAACTGCAATGTAAATATCTAAGGGTTTTTAAAAGCAAATGTTGTTGCAGGTAATAGAATTATTTCCACCTGAAATCACTACAGTAAGTTTACCTATTTTTTTCCAGCAGCCTCTGTCATGTCAATCAAAAGCATGAATATTTCTTTATACTGCATGTGCTTTAAATGTGCTAAAAATGAAATGATGGATAGGTAAATGTTAGTGGTTTCCTTTGGGGGTTTTGTGAACTGTCCTACTTTCCTCAAACAGGATTTTGGAAACAGCTGGTGTCACTGAATACTGGGGGAATTAATCTTTTCCAGTAGATATTTGCTTCTGGTGTTTTCCTAAGTTATATACACAAGTTACAAGGAATTCCATGTGATATGCAGACTTTTGCTTTTCAGAGCAAAAGTAAATTTCAGTTTACAGCCCTCTACTTTTTCATTCCCACTTCCAGCTGAGGGCAGGGAACCCATTCCACTCCTGCATCCATTTAGGTGAAGTCAGAAGTGACTTCAGCCCATCACATGCTGGGCAGATTTGTCACAGGTACACAGCCCTGACAGTGTGGACCCTTGGCTAAGGGAAAGCACATGTGCTGTGCTCACTGCTGTCATTCACAGCATCCAGCAATTCCCTGATTAAAGTTGGTTATTTTTGATAACTGGATCAATTTTTGCAATATAATCACAGTCAATTTTTCCCCGAATGAGCTGACATTTAGATTAAGAGCTCAGGCTCCAGCAGTGTAATTCAAGGGATGTATTTGAGACTTTAGATGGAAAGCAACCCCATCCAGTCCTATCTACAGCCTCAGTATCCATCAGTCAATCATGCAATCAATCTATGAGACCTTCTGTGAGCACTTCAGGTATCTATTATTTTCACTGCTATTTGTGCTGGGATGTGTAAGAACTGTCATTATCTGTGCAAGGGTTTGGGGTGGTGTAGTGGTGCAGGAATGTGGTGGTGTAGAAATTCAAAAGCAACAAATTACCGTAATGTGGGATGATGCTCCAAGCCATTGCTGAAGCATAAATGCCACCAATCATCCAGAACATGCAAAGCCAGCTCAGGTGTTCCCCCCTCTTCTCACGAGACAGGAATTCAGAGAAATAGGCAAACACGATGGGGAGGGTGCCCCCGATACTGAGGAGAAAAAACAGCACATGAGAAAAATGAGAGTCAGCTTCAATGTGTTTGTGGTTAGGATTGCATGTTTAATGAAGGAAGGTCACACTCACAGATGGGCTGCTCAGAAGTGAGACTTGGAAGAAAAATGCAAATCTCTCTTTGGCTGGACTGGCTTTAGACGTCAAAAAACGTACAAGATCCTTCTCATGCTCTAAAAGCTGAATTTTCTGTAGTTTGTACAAACCCAGATTAATACCCTGCTCTTTGCTTAAACATCTCCTCTTGTTATTTCATAATCACTCATTTTAGGGAGGCAAAATACTGGCAGCCAGTGGGAACTGCTGAGGATCTCATTGGAGGCCTTGGAGGTGGGCATTTTCAATCTCACCCACATTTCTGCACAATTTGGGCAGTACCAGAAGAACATCAATGACCAAACTTTCCCACCATTACAGCTCCACTGGTCAAGAGTGAGGTAACACAGCCACACGTCCCAAATGGCAATGCCATCCTGGCTGGGCACCAGGGGTGCATCTCCTGAGCACCTTTCCTTGTCCCACCCCACACAGCCCCACTGCCCAGCTGTGCTGGGGCTGCCCCAGGCCAGATTCACCAGGTACCCACCCCAGGCCTGAGATAAGGCGGCAGAAGAGGAAGAATCCGTATCCCTGGACGAAGGAGGAGAGGAACGCAAAGGCAGCATTGATTGCGAGTGACATGATGAGGCATTGCTTTCTTCCCAGTTTGTCAGCGAGGCCACCCAGCAAGACAGCCCCCACCATCATTCCTAAGTAGACTATCAAGCCTGGAAGGGAGAGAGAGACAGTCAGCTTGTTAACAGGGTGGAAATAGTACACAGTGTAGAAGCAAATTTGAAAGTGCTCCTGTGGCAGCTGATGTCATCCTGGCACTCTGTGCAATAGAGATACTCCTAACCACCCCAAATCTCAGGCACCAGAAACTCTGCTCATCAGCAGGACAGTAATTTTCCCATCTCCTGCCTGAGAGCTTGCATCACTTGAGGCAATATGGACATACCCTCATTTGACCAGCCCCACATCTTTCCTTCCCAACCTTGCTGCTCACATATCCCCTGCACGTAAGCAATGGCCAGGCATAAGCAGCTTAGGATGCACGTGTCCCAGCTATGTGCCACCAACAATACAACAGAAGTCTGATGTCTTAACTCCTCTGACCCCCCTGAGTGCAGTGGGATGGAGGATGTGTAGGGAGAGGCTCTGTCAGGCTGCTGTTTATGCTCGGAAAGCCGTGAGAGCAGAGAGGCCGATGAAGCATGGCTAAATCTCTTTGCAGTTTCATCTCTTTCACTCTCTGCTTTTCCCAGCTGTGTCTGAAAGGATCAGTCTGTTACCCAGACTCACCTCGTGGAGCTCAGCTACTTCCTTCCTTACTGAGCCAAGAGCTGGTGTCTAACTAAAGGACAGCTTACTCAAGAGTGCAGTCTTGATCGGAAAATTTCAGGAGAAGGGAGAATCTAAGGCTTGTCTGGACAGTTTGCTCTATAGAGTTATCTCTCTAATATTGTTAAGAGAGATGGAGTCTTCTTTTTAACCTGACTTCGCTAGATTTTCTGCTATGAGGTCCTCAAAGACAGTCTCAATGGCTCACTTAGTGCCAGGCTGAATAGGAGAGAATGGGTTTCCACCCTGGGCATTCTCCCTGTATCCTGCTCAGTTTGTGCTTGCCACTCTCCTGGAGAACATGGCAGTTGTCCTTTGCTCTTCTACTGCCACTGCTGCAAAAGATCCACAGATTTTATTGCCTTTTTTTTTATGCAGGTACCAGAGTAAATAACACTAGTTCATAATGCTCAAAGGTTCAGGAATATATTTTTCCATTTATTTTATCTACTTTCCAGATGTAGCTCAGAAGAAATTGGTTGCAACCACAGCTTTTCCTGGGGAGCACAGAGGTACAAGAGGCTGCTCCCAAGAATACCTCCTGCATCATATCAAACCCCATTGACAGGATTGTAGCCTGTGTCTATAGGCTGCACAGTCCTGCTGTGGAGATCCTGGTGGGGCCTGACCACCACTGGATATGATCCAGATGGGTTGAGCTATTTCAGGATGGAGAACATCTGCTGGCTGGGAAGCAGAACTTTCTGCTTTCCCTGCAGTGCAGGGAGTTCTTGAAGGAAAGGGATGATGCTTGAGGATGTTTGGAGACTGGGGACATATCAGGTTCAGGACCCAGCTGAGCTCCCTGCATCCCTGGCCTCAAGTGAAGGCATTGGATGCTGAGCAAGTAAATACACTGCTTTAACAGGAAACATTCCTACTCACTGATTGAAGAAATCCAGCTAAAAGAAACATTTTTCAGGCATGGTTGACTCTTTGCAGGTTCTTTCCTCACCTTGAACCAAGTTTGGCTTCTCTTGAGAGCCAATGCCTTCCCCAGGTTCTGTTCTGTCAAATACACTTGGAAAACAAGGTGGCAATGTACGTTTTTGTAATTTATTAATGTTTAAACAAAACAATCAGTCTGGTGGCTGAAGGCAGCTCTGTGCCATCCAGCAAAGCTAGCTAAGGGCTAATGCAGTTATCTGGCAGCTGATCCTGTCTTCCTTTTGATTGCAAATGCCTGCACTTGATTTAAAATGCATTACTAAATTAAAAGCTATGCAGCAGAGACCCATTGCAGCAGTTGAAGGACACTTGCGTCACATTGATCAGATGGGGAAAGGTTTGGATTTCTTAAATCTCCCTATTCCACAGTGGGGTCACCTGTCTGTGAGTGATTCTTTTCAATCCACACGATGTCTGGTGGCAGGATTTGTATGTCAAAGGCAAAAAATCTGTTCTTGTCTATTAAAAGCCTTTGTACCAGAACTGTGGAGCTGGATTTGGCCAACTGTACCTCCACCATGAGCACACAGCTCTGTGCTACCCATCCTTGCACTCCCTGCCCTACCCTCCTGATCCAAGCTGTCCTGGTGAGGAGATCTGAAGGTGTGTAAAGGTTTCAGGTACTGATCTCAAGAGAAGATGCAAACACATCTCAGAGTCTGGAATCTCTATTTCTATTAACTTTGACCTCCAGCTTGTTCAATGAAGTGCAAATTGCAAGGGTGAGCCAAAGCAAAAACAGTTCCAGTCTGAAAACTTCCTGAAGGAAGGATCTTAACTTAATGCAGTGCTGGATGGCTTAATGCTTTTACCCTGGCTCTTGAGCCACATTTAATGGAGCAACTCTGTGGCAGCCAGAGGAAGGAAGTGATGATAAGCCCTGTATCTACTCACTGGTGCATCACAGCCACCCATCTGACAGTGAGCCCTGCCAGCACTGCCAGACCCTGGTGAGGAACAAAAAATGATCTGCCAAACTTTTTTTTTTCTCTTTTCTTTTTTTTTTTTTTTTTGTTCCGGAGAAAATCCCTGGATGGCAGATGTTCATCCAAATCCTCTTAGTAATGGAAAATGTCCTAGGTCAGGAGGAGGTGGAGGAGATTGTACTGTCTTCTAGCTGGTGTTTTACTGCAGTCACTGGTGAGGGGCAGCCTGTTGTCTGGCCAGAAGAGTGGGCTCAGTGTGGGATGAGGCAGAGCTTGAAACTCGACATCAAGTGGAGCTGCTTTTGTAAGCAAACCCCTGCAGACTCTGACTAAGGGGCCCAAACTTGGGATGGAAAGGAAGATTGGATCTCTGCAACACAGCATCCATCCCACAGCGAGCAGATAAATCACAGCAGAGCTGTTAATGTCACAAACTCATTTAGAGGATGTTGCTTTAATTAGTTATTGTATATGATAAATCAATTGATATGTGATCCCCCAGAAATTTAAAACAATAAAAATCTGTAGTGAAGAAAATATCAGGGACAACCAGAGACTGTCTACTTGGCCAGGTTTTGAGGGCAGGATCCTGGTTATGGAAATATGTTCTTCAGGGTTGAAACAAAATCAACAGAACACTTCCTTATCATGGAGAGGTCTTTTTTTGGTGAAGACTGCATGTTCTGGCCAATGTAATTAAAATTTTGGGGTAGCTGCTATAGAACACTCTGTCAGCTGATGGATCTCAGGACCCAGGGTGCAGAACAAAGTCTGCTTTGCAGATTGCTGTGCCCTGGATTGACAACAAGGTGGCAGGGACCCAGGGAGGAGTGGAATAGTTACTCAAACAGACTCTTTGCAGGGAGACAATCTTCCAGAGAGCACAGTGATGGCTGCTACCTCTGAAAAAGATCCAGCTCATGTCAAGGAAACTAAAATCTTAACGAGAGTTGGACCAAGAAAACAGATCACAAAATGATATTTATTTTGTTGGGCTAGTTCTGTCCATCAAATATTCTACAGTACAACACTACAATGGTCTGCACCAGAACCCTGACTTCTAAACTTTGCTTCAAATCACACGGACAGACTGTGCTAGGAGGGATCAGTTTCCCAATTGACACATAAGGTGCTCAGATGAAATGTTAAGGGCAACTCTGAATAAGCCATTATTTGCAGGCTATTCCACAAGTCCTGGAGTATAAAGAATGCCTGTGGGAAAGTCTGCAACAGCCTCCCATAAAAGTGGTGGAAAACCAAAGAGCTGAAATTCTATGAATAAATTTTGGGTTATGACTCATCCATTGCTGAAGTTATAAGGAAAATATGTGACCACTGACTGGGCTTATTCCCACTAGAAAAGGGGTAACATATTTAGCATTTTCACACTAAGAAATTTATTAGCCTTTACTGAAGTTGTGTGCTCTATATTAGACAGAAATTTGAAGTTAAAAGCTGAAGTTCTAGGAATAAGGAAAGGAATATACTGCAGATACAGTATATGGCTCTGGGTGTGCCATAAACTGTATTTTTACTGCTTCAATATAGTTAGAAGTAGATTTCTAAGGGTTTCAGAAAAAAAACCCCAAAATTCCAATGTTTACCTATATCTGCATCACAAGTGTGAATTTTTCCTATTGTTAGTTAATGGGATTAAAGTCCTTAAAGAAGAGGCACATCTAAAAATAATCCCTTTAAGGACAGGACAAAGACTTGTGGAATAAATAGAAAATTTGAGCTTTTTGAGCCAAAGAGCTCACTGAGAAGAATTGCTTCCAGAGTCCTTGGGGCTGTCAGGAAGGTAAGGAAGCTGCCTGGGCCCAGGGTTGTCTCTGGTTTGCATGGAGCCAGTAACCACAGGAAAGGGAAAGCTCCCACCTTACTTCCAATCCCAGGCCAATACCACTGCAGCCCTATGGTAAAAAAAAAAGGGGCTCTTGAAGAGGGAAAACATTTGAACAACAGTAAATTATTAGGACCTTATATATCTTGTAGTTCAAATTGTAATAAAAACAAAATTAAAATACTGTTATTGGTGTAGAATCTGTTAGGGATACACCTTATAGACACAAACAGAACTTCATGAGTCAGGTGGACAGTTTGGGAGATGGATGTGGCAAGGCAGAGGATCCAATTGTAAGTAATTAAAAGAGAGAAATAAAGCAGTGATGGTGCTGACTCTTGTACCATAGTGATGGGAGGGTCTTGACAGAGGATGAGCTGAAGGCTGGTGGTCTTTTCTTCCATTTCTCCTGCAATTTTCAATCTGCTCTTCCTTTTAGGCTTATTAATGCTTTCCCCATGGTCACCTTGACCTTTTAAGTGGAACTCAAAGGAAAGGCTCATCCCATTGCACTCTCCTTGTTGGTTAATACAAGCAGTGAGATGCCCTCCACAGCCCGCGCCTCTTGCACTGGGAAGGGGACTCTCTCTCCCATGGGAAAGGCAGCACTTCATTTTGGGAGGTCTGAGTGTGGATACTGGGCATGTCTGGCTGCTGGGATGTAGGG